ACACCTGGAGAAATACATCTTCAGATACACACACACAGATCACATGCTCTTTGCGTGTTGTAAGAAGGTATCATTAACACATTGTAAGCTCTACTCATGACGGTCAGGCACAGACTGTACTCAAGCCCACAGAGAACACTCAGAGCCACAGTGTGACAACAGCTTTAAACACCGACGTTTTCCTTCAGAAGACACTGTTAGAAGCTTTGATTTGATTTTAACACCGACTCCTGAGTCTGTGGGCCGGGACGTGTGTGATCACGTGTGGTTTCTGCAGACGAACGCATAATTAACTGCTACGTTTCACTTTCCACCAACACAAACCACACAGGATTTGACTCGGTAGAAAAATTATACACTCTTTTACGATCGACTGAGGAAATAAGTGCAAGCGAGCCGAGTCTGGGTTTTTCATTATGCCCCTCCAAAGATTTGCAGAAGTGTTTCCGTTCAGACTGAGCCACAGAATCTTTAGCATACAGAGAAAACACTCATCAAATCTAATGATTATCTCGAGCATCTGAGCGATTCAGTTTCAAAAGGAAAAGTTCTTTTCAAATCCACGCATGAAACTGTAATTCAAAATCATCATTATGGGATTGAGACATGAATTAAAATCTGCTGTAAACTGCATCAACATGAAAACACTTTGTTATTAGAAAATACAGACCACACAGCAATATTCAGAGCAATTTGTGTTTCTGTGTTTGCAGCCGAGTGAACTACAACCTTAGATACAACAATAGATGACATGATGCTCCGAACACATTCAGATAAGTGCTGAGTCATTATCTGGTAGTTACGTGTTCCCTCTCACATCATCTGATAGCGGTGAAGCCACATCGACCTCAGATCTCTGGAGAAGACGAGTCCTTGGATTAAAACGTTTATTCTTCTTAAGGTGCTGACGATAATTCTGTTTTTCAGAAAAAGAAAATAAAAATCATATTTTGGTGATTTTAAAGTTCTCGTCTGCAAAGTAATTTTTGTTTTACCAGTGAGTTGAGTCACATTGTGTAGAAGCAGAGGTGTGACGTAACAAAGTACTTTTTTACTGTATAGTAAGTATATTTTTTCATCTGGGTTAATTTACAGAAAATCAGAAAAGACAACAAATCACCAAACACTTTGTGATTTACTGTTCTGTTCTCTCGTGTTTATTTATTTGCTGATTAATTATTGTTTTTTGTGATTTCCTTTTTTTTGGTAACATAAACATTTGTACTTTATTCTCTCCAACATTTTAACACTTCATCCTGTTTTGTATTATGTATAAGAAGTAATGTGACATTAGGCTCTGAAGGGACTCAGACATTATGAAGTTGCATCAGAGAATATAATTCACTTGACAAGTACTCAAAAAACTAGTATATTTAAAAGAAACTATACATTTTTGTGTATCTATATGTACATTTACTTTTTTAATGTTTGATGAAAAGTGATAAAAATACTGACAAGTGTTTTAAATTTATACTTTCATGGGAACTGGATTGTTAATATACTGTTTATAATGATTTTATAACATTCAGTCTGATTCAGCTTTTTACCATATATGTGCTTGTGCAACACCTTTTCCTCTGCAACATGAAACAGAATTTAAAAAACATGTCTGCACAGATGCATGAACGAGTTCCCTTCATATGTGTGAAGCATGAACGAGCATGTGTTCGAATGAATCAATGAATGAACCAAAGTTACTTCAATCTGAGGGGGGGAATCCTCTCTCTTTTCTTCTTTCTCATTTCTCTGCTCTCATTATTCAAACTACGACTGCTGAGCTCGACCAGTTTTTTTTAATGAACGAGGCTCCAAACTGAATTTATCCTCCTATATGAATGTGGCACTCAAGATAAGAGCTGGTGGATTTCTCCAGATGGAGGAGATGAACCTCGGTGCTTCTTCTACTACATCTGAGGAAACAGAAGCATCCAGAAAAGATCTGACCGCAAGAGATGATTTCATTTTAGAATATGTTGCGTGAAATTCAAAACACAGCAGAAACCCTGAATCTGCATGTAGACCTTATTTAGAATTATTTAATGGGCGAGGATCACAGAGTGAAATCAAATCAACTTGATCGCCCCCTTGTGGCCTAGTGTATATAATTACACTGCCTCCTCCATGTTAGCATATGGGGCATGGACAAAGTCAAAATAAATGTTTAATACTTGTTTCTCAGAGATGGTTTCTGTGATTTGAGGTGGTTGTCATCAGTGGTAGATTTTCATTTTGGTTAAAACTTCTAAGTTCATTCTTTCAAGCTATAAAACAGTAAAATATTGGTATTTCTCCTTTAACGATATTGCAAATATTTGGCAGCTCAGCGCTGACGGAGAATCATCCTGAATATTTATCTTCTACTTTGAACTTTAAATGTTTCTGGTAAATACACAATTACACAAAGTAAATATAAAGTACTAATGTACAACATGGACAACATCTGAAGTTTACTCGTATTGAAGGTAAATCAGGATATTACATTTTGTTTCCCCACTCCAGAAGATAACAGAGAGGAGAATGCAATTAATTAAATATTAATTTCTATCATTCAATCATTATATACATCCTGATAATGACCTCGTAATTCTACTTTACTAATTCAGTTCCTCTGGGTAAATGCAATGAACCTGGCACAAATAGAGAAGATTCAGATTTTCACTCTTCTTGTAAACTGTGCCACATCTCCTAATAATGTATCTACCACGAGCCCCATTGTTTTACTCCTTCGTGTCTTTTGTACGCTCTGGTTCTGCACTGAAGTTTACAGCCTGTTTATCTCCTCTGTTTGAGATTTAGACGTTTCTATTATTCACGTCCCTGATGAGGCTGCATGATCCCATTAGCCTCGAACGCCGGCGGGCCATGTGAGGTGCCAACGACAAGCTGCCTGCGAGGAACTCTGTGTGCTCTGGACAATAAGCCGCTGCTTCACTGCAGTGCTATTTCAAATCAATGTCATGTGGTTTACGATAAAAAACAGCTTAGTGCACGTGTGCATCTGTACAGGGATGTGCACTGGTTTATAAAATGTAAAAATAGCTCTGAAGATTTTAAAGATATTAATGTAAACCTTCAGACCTGAGTCGTCTCTATCGCTGATCCCCGTCACTGAGACATGTGGGAAGTCAAACTAAAACGTATTGTCCTTTAGTGGCAGCCCCCACCATACGTCAACCTCCTCCATGTCAGCAGCTGGAATATGAACCAAAGTAAAAAAAGCCAAAATACACATCAGATGATTTATCAATGCTATAAAAACAGGGTGAAACGTCTTGTTCGCCAGCTGAGTCTGACTCACGCTTATAAGCGAGAGGATCCATCTTTATCTGATCTCAGCCGATGAGTCATGCCAGAGTTTGGGGACCTTTACTGCAGAAGCATGACGGCCTTTAGTCAGGAGTCAGACTCAGCTGATCTAAGAGGAGGAGTTGAATGAGAGTGAACACAAAGCAGATGCAGTGAGGCCAGATGTGGAGAAGCCTGCCCGCATCCCATCCAACCCACATCCTGCACGGAATGACGGCACTTCACATCTGGGCCACAAGGAGGCTTTAGAAATATCACATGTTTACCAAAGATGGCACAAATTTCTTTTTGCTGTTTGGTTCATATTCACCTTTCACCACAAGTGGAGCACTTTAGGCTCACGTCCATTTCGTTCGGGCCACAAGAAAACCAGATGTGCTGCATCATTGGCTGAAGTGGCCCACATCTGTATGCTATCTGGTTGAGTGACACCTCTGGAGGGAGTGTAACAGAAGACGGCAATGACTAAGTGTTTACACATGGAATACAAGACTCTCTGCAATGTCATGTGCTGATCCTACTAAATAAACAAATACACAGCTTTTGAAACTGTTGCCTACGTCTGAATTGTGTTTTCATTTTATCCGTTTTCTCTAATTCTTTATTTATCGTCATGTAACTTCATGAAACGTCTCAAAGCTTTGATATGTTTCCTCCTGCTTATTTAGCGACGATAAGAATAAAGATAAACAAGAAGAACATGAAATCTATAAAATGCTGTGAAACTTTTGCTTTAAATCTGTTCAAAATCTTAAATTCCACTTCCTGGAGATACTTCTCAAGGTGTTTGTGTGTCTGGATTGTGATGGGTGTTGTGCAAGATTCTGAATCAGTTGCAACATATTTTCACCAAAGCAGATCAGCACTGGGTGTGGATGCTTCATGTTTATAATTAGGTCTTGTCCATTGTGTGCATGTGTGTTCAACAGGAACACATTGTTCATGGGTGTGTTCAGGGTTCTGTCTTTGAGAATAGTTCCTATTTTCCAACAATTTAATGGCAGCTCGTACTCCTCGGAAACACAAGCTGCTCCCTGCTCTCAACTCGCCGTGGCCCACTGATTCTGAGTGGCTCTTCATCCGCTCAGATGGATCCAGCGGCGGAACGACTCGGTTAACCTCAGGAATGAGACAAAAAAAAACAACCCCGGCTCAGTAGGCCTACCTGCGAGTTCACAAAGCCACACGTCACCTGGTAGCCCGATACAGAGCGGAGACAAAGGCGGGGATGAAACCCGAGCACGCCAGCCTCCTTTCTGTTGCCATGACGACAGCGGCCGGGTGAGAAAGAGAGAGAGAGAGAGAGAGAAAAGAAAAAAACAGGGAGAGACTCAGAGGACTGATGGCCTGAGGCTCCGCCCATCGGGGGGGGGATTCACAAATCTAACCTGGCAACCCAGCAACCTGGCAACCAAATGTGAATACAATCAATGTATTTAGATGCAACACGGAATTAATGAGGAGGTAATAAATTGGCCGAAGCCCCTCGGCGCTCTTCCCTTCCTCCCGTCCAGTAATTCACCTCCATCGCTGGTCCTCTGTGGCCTTTTCACAGCCGGCGACTGGACGTGGATCAGGGTGTGTGTCTGTTGCTGGCAGGTGTAGAAGCAGGTTGAGCAGGTTGCTCCCTGAATGCCACTCTGCCTCCTCCCTCCCTCCCTCCCTCCCTCCCTCTCTGCAGGCTGACTGCTGATTCACTCTCACATGTTGGCAGCTCAGTGAAGAGATTTTGTTGCCTGTGCACCTGTTCTCATCTGATACAGCCTGAGAATAAGGTAAGGATTTACTCAGGAAGGATTTCTGTCTTTTCTTTCAGCAGAATGTGCAGCTTTCAACCGGATGGATTTTGTCTAAATATGTTAAATACGATTTAGAGTCATATTTTTTAAATTGTATTTTTAATCAAAACAAAAATAATCTCGAACAACCTTTTCATAAATAATATATTTTAAATTGTCTGCACCCATCACAGCAATAAGTTACATTTCTCAAAGTTTAAAATGATTAATTATCCCATAATCATGCTTACCTAATAGTTTTTGCTTTCACTTGCTGGAGAAACAGAATCATATCCACTTGCTATGTGAAAACAAAAAGAGTTCATGGCTTCAGATCATCACAACAACAAGTGGCATATATACTGTAGTTACCTTATGTAACCTGAACACTGGGCACACAGTGTGGTCACACCAGTGTTTGCCACTAAGAACACAATTAATTATAAACCAGGGTGTTAAAGTATCCGACATATTAGAATCATTTGTTTCTCTATATCAGAGCTTTGATTTTTTCTCATTCAACGACTCAAAAAAGAAAATATTCCCGTGGACCCCCTCATATGTGTGTACACATCTGTTTTCTACATTTCTCCTAAGTTATGTGAAACAACAACACAAGTGAACTGTCTCAGAAACAGGTTATATATATATATATATCATCATATTTAATGCAGATATCCAGGTGGTAAGATGCCGTAAATCCCTACTTCAGTCCACATCCTCCCTGGAACTACACAAATAATGTTGAACATACTTGTAACATGTCGCACACAGGTGTAAAACATGTGAGCTTTACACAACTAACAGGATGTGAGTTTGTGTGTCTTTGAGTCTCCCTGGGTGTGACTGTTTCTCTGTAAACCCGCTGAGGTGATAACTGGTACAGACTCTGACAGACTGGCAGAATGGGAACTCTCCTCAAGAACACATCGGCCTGTTTCCCTTCAACCCGGCCGCGGCCCGAGACTCGTTCGTGGCGACGCTAGCAACCAAATAGCCGCTCGAGATAGGATGTGACACGTTGAGTTAGGGTTTTAATATTTTGTGGCTCGGACGCTGTATGTCACACAAACAGCTGGTTACAGATATCAATCGTTCATCTGCGTCATTAGATCATCGACGGGCTTTTGTTCTATTTTTAAATCCTATTGTGCATCGACACACTTACACAATTCAAAAACATACCCATGATTCCACTGAGCTGCCTGTTAAACTGGTTCCACACCAGTTTGTTTCATTTACACCAGATCCTCAGACGCCTGCAGCGTAGTTAGACTTTTTTCTTTCACAGAGTTCGGTTTCCTGGAATCCACAGTTCAGAATGCTGCACCAGTTGAAATGAAATGAGCAATATTATCTATTATTATGGGGGGGGGGGAGTCGAAACTATAGTGGAATGCAACAAAGACGTCTTAGCCCCCAGACTTCCAATGACAGGTCCCAAGAAAAAACTCCTTTCCAAAACCTAATCCTTTGTGTGACTGACAAGTAGCTGACGAATTATCCAAGAGTTCTTCATCTCATAACTCAGAAAAGACCCAGGAGCAAAGTCACTGTAGCAGCACAAGTGTCATTTAGACTTACAAATGTAAAAGTTCATGAAGTTGTGTTTTCTTTCGATGAAATCATCAGCGTTCTGCAAATGACAAATTCTCAGTTTTAAACATTCCTGTTTGAAAAGGGCCCTTTGGTGTTTCTAGACTTTTCCTCAACAACAAAACTGACCTGCAGTAAATCAGCCACAGAAACTAAAGATTATTCAAACTGGAGAATTATTGTCTGTTAAAGATGGTCGATGGCTTTGTACGACAATAACCACAATAACCTTAGCTGCTGTTTCCATGGAGACAACTCCAGTCAATCTGCTGCGAAAGAGGAATTTGCTAAATTCAAAGAGATTCCTCGTCACAACTGCGAACACAACATGATCCCGTGTTGCCAGATTCCAGAGCTGAACTGATTTCACCTGTTGAATGTGGCCCCTGAGCTGTGTCCCAACTGAATTTCAAGCTCTCTGATTGGATGTTTCTTACAACTTGACAAATCAGAGATGTGAAGAAACTAGAAATAAAACACATTCATCCAGCGTTAAAGCTGCAAAAAATCTCCCGACCCAAACAAACAGGTCACTTTCTTGTTTCCGCTGCTGCAGCGACGAAAGCTCTAAATCGTCCTCCCTCCTTCCTCCTGTCTCGGCGGATTGAGCTATTTTCTTTAATGATGTGTTCTGAGTGTCGTATCATCAACGAACGTTAACCGTTTGATTTATACCGTTTTCGCACAGCAGGTCGCACCATTAACAACCCACAGGCTCTCCGTTCAGTCCCCACAGAGCAGGAAAACACAGAAACGTGTGAGCTGACCACTGAACAACATTCACGTTTCATTTTGGCGACGACACGTTTCCGTATGTACTCAAATGAGTCGGATGAGTTGCCACAGCAATGAAATGATTTGCATCATGACAGGTTAAAGCGGAAATGTGAAAATCAGATTTGCATGTTTAAACCTCTGTCTCGCTGCACAGATCTGAGCGAGAGGCGGGTCACAACAAAGCACTGAGTGACTTGCGCTGAAAGTGGCCTGCAGGGAAAAGCCGGAGTCATTTGTGTGTCGGTGTGACGCCGAGGTGAGAACACACAGCTCAGAGGGCATCGGTGTGTGTTCGCGCTGTCAAAATGTCACAGATCTCACAGGAGATTGTGCCGGGACCCGCCGTGTAACAATGCAAGGTCGGCTGCATAGAAACTCAACAACAACCTGATGTAGCAGCCAGATATGTCATGTTCACGATGTTTCCCCCCACGTTCGCCGCCGACGTCAACCGGGCGAGACCCGCAGGTGTGTGACGGGATCGGTCGCTCAGTGATTTTCTCGCAGACGGCCTGTGCTCTTTAGGAAGGTGGTTTTGTTGCTGCTGGAAAATGGGAACAAGCACAGATGTCTTGATTCGTACTGACTCTTTGCATGTGGTCAGGAGGAGTCTGGAGGCTGAACACAGATTCAGCCCCCGTGGCTCCGTCCTGAAGGAGCTGATCCAGGGCAGGAGGTAAACAGAGGTGTCAGTCACCGAGGGAAAAGGAAACAACCGGAAACCACACTTTCTTACTTCTTTTTTCAATTTCTTTACGCTTCGTCTCAAAACACAAGCAAACATTATAGTTATATTTTCTGCCCTGTCCACGGGTTGGTTCATTTGTTTGTCAGCAGGATGATTCAAATACATTTCTATGAAATTGGTGGAAAGATGAGAAATGGGCTCAAAATAACTGATTGAATTTGGCGTTTACATTTAATGTGAGATTTTCTTTAGGGAATGGTTCTAGAATCTTGATTAAAATAATAATCAGGGTTATTAAGGGGACTAACATGTGTGAGTATTTGCAATAAGGAGCGGCTCGACTGAATTTAAGACGACTGTTGAAGGTGCAGACTATCGAGTGCCACTCTAGTTACTTTGTGATTTAGTTACCACGGTCACAAGTTTGAAGAAATGACACATCAGGCTCAGTTTATCTTTACAAAATTACTGAATAAGATAGATTTGATATGCAATTCAATATTAAAAAAAAGAATAATATCCACATAAGACAGAGCTATGAGGAATGTGCCGGAGATAAAATGACAATAATAACACGATGAGCAGGTTGAGTTACTTTAGATACGTGTTATTTTTAGCACCAAGAAAACTCAGGAGAGAAGTTGTGAAAGTGTTCAAGTGTCTCCAGTTTCATGAAAACAGACTTTATCTGCTTTTTATTCACTTTAATCATTTAATGTTCTCAACGTACAATTCAAGTCAAAGTTGATGAACAACTAAAGTAATTAAAATCATTAAGTCATAATGTGATGAGTCACTTTGAAGACAACGAGGCGATTATTTTCTTTGCTCAGAAATAAAATGAAGTTTTTATGTCTCTCTTGTGTTTCAGAGTGAAACCAAAGGAAAATGGAACTGTATTTAAAAATCACAGTGGGCTTCCTCCTGATCGTCCAGACCTTTCACTTTGTGCTACTGCAAGATTCTACCGACTCTCCGGGTCGTACGATTGATGCAGCGTGGCTCCGTAAACTCACTAAACTTAAAGTCGGAATTCAAAAGGCTCCAGTTACTTCAGAGGATTATGGATTAGAGCTGGATCCTGATAATGATCCAAACAATGATCACAGTTCTGGTATTCCATCGGGCTACATGATTTTGTCTAACGAAGGCGACAACGTGTCCAGTAGCGAAGTGAGTGAAAATAAAACATCTGATAATCTCACGCTGCCTCACAAATTTCCAAAACATGCGACCAAGAAGCACAAAGTGTCGAACGCCACAGTTTCTCCAACTACTACAACCACAAATCCCACAAACTCAAGCCAGAGAAACATGACAGGAGCTGATGAGGAATCTCACAACTCAACGATGACCAATCACACCTCCACCGCTGATTCCATTTCTCATAACTCCACCACGTTCTCCAATCGCACTCATTTAAAGTCGACAACCTTGGCGCCAGAGATCAACGCTACGCAACAACCACCAGAGGAGGATGAGAGGTTACACAACAGAACGGGATCCAACAGCACAACAACCGCAGCAACCACAACGACACCGAGTTTAAACGAGACGTCCATCACGTCTTCATCTACAACAGCGTCCCCCTCTGAGACCACAGAAACCAGCCCTGTGCCCACGACCTCTCTCGCTCCGATCACACCTGAGAAGGCCAACAAGACGGACAAAGATGGAGCCTCGGGGAGCAGCGCGGAAAGAGGTATCGCTGCAGTTTCAGGTGTCGCAGCACCTGGTGTATATTTCCGTGTCGAGAAAAAAACTTCTTTGTGTGCCTCCCTTTCAGTGCGACATTTCTTTACAGACAGATATCAGGAGAAAAATAACGTTCATGTGCAATTCCAGGAGCTTTCTGACTGAGTTGCCTAACGAGGTTTGACAGATATCAGAGTTATTAGGCAACAAAACCGGCACAAAATCCCTCAGAGACTTTGAGACAACTCATACGCTCGTAGCTCAGGAGCACATTTATCTCTGTTGCTTGCATATTGTTTTTTATTTCCACCCTTTCCCTGACCCACATTTGCCTGCATGTACTTTCCCAGTGTCAGAGGACAGCCGCCCATTCTCTCAAAGGAAAAGGTCGGATTTGGGTTTCAGGTGCTATCGAGGTGCCTGCGATGACTGGAGGGATCGATTACAACCGACTTCTTAGCGAGACAATGAAACCCTGTTTTAGGGGTAAAAAAAAAAAGAAAAGAAAAAAGAACCCTGAACGCAGCAGTCAGGGACGGAGGTCATGGGACATATATAAAAAAAAAACAACACTATCTAACTAGAAACGTTACTTATATGAGCGAGCGTTCGACAAGAGGAGAAATAAAAAAAGGTGTTTAGTGAGTAACTGCAGAGTTGGGATTAAAATAAAACTCACATCACAGAGACAGATGTGACAGCAGGACATCACACTAACAGATGATGGCAGTAAACAGTGGGTAGACAGTTGTGAAACGGCGGGCAACACTGAAGGAAGAAACCTGCCCACAGTTTCCGTGACAGGCACAGCATGCACACGAAAACCGCACAAGAGCACAGACGGCTGAGCACAGATAAACACGGAGCCCGTAAATATGGGCGTCCATGCAACAATGCTTTCCCTGACATTAGTAAATCAAATAAAATGCACTGCAGCTGCCTGACCTCACTGGAGCAGGGTAACGCACCTATTGTTGCACTGGCGTCAGGTTCTTTATGAATTATCGTCATAAAGCAGTAAAACTAAGAGTCTATAGTATCTGCAGCTCTGTGAGGCCGCGCGGTGCATTAACACGCTCACAGTGGCAGAGATGTAAATGTCATCGGATCTAATGAAATTGAATAATATACTTAATACAGCAGTTGCCGTTTACACTGATGTAAATGTCTGCGCTGACATTTATGGAAATCTGTCCAACAGCTGTTGAGAGATTTCAGCCGAAGCCACAAATGTCAACCTCAGGGTGGCGCTAAAAAGAAAAAAGTCAGGGGGTCATTAATGTAAAGAGGCTGGACCCTCGGGAGAATTTCACTCTGTCCGCCCAGTGGTAGTGAAGCTCCATCACGATGATTATTCTTTGCTATTTGCCTCTAAAGTGAATAAAACTTCACAAGCAGACCTCCTCTGTGAACATAACTTGCTTCAGGTAGATTTTCATCAGAAATGGTGGTGAGGACAACAACTCCCATGATCCCCAGCTGCTTCACATCATCCAACTCTCTTTCTATTGTTTTGAATGAGAGACCCCTAGTGGCCAAAGTTACACATTCTACATTTATGTGATAAAAGCAGTTTCACTTTCTCAGTGTCTTCTTGCAATTAAGGAGGTTCTTTCTCTTCACTCTTGCTTAAGGTGGAAATGTCTCTGATAGTATCACCAGACCTTTACTTTACTCTGTTGAGCCTTGAGATAATATACATTATGAATTACAGCTAAATAAATAAACCTGCCTTCAATTGAATTCTAGTAATAATGGGAACTACAGTAATAAGCACAGCCTGCTGCCTTAAAATATTCAAATGTATTCATCACATCATCATGATTTAGGCATGTAAATTGCATTAATTATGGCGGCGTTAATTAAACAAATCCACACGGCTGACTAGCTGGAGTGTGCGTGAACACAAAGTGCTCAAAAAATACATTTCAGACATAATTATCTGACAATTAGCACTCGACGACAGCAGCTGATATGAATCATTTTCAGTGTTGACAAACCATTTATTACCGCCTCCCGCCCCCTCGTTCCTCCAACACAGGTTTGTCATCAGATTCACCCAGGAGCAGGAGGAACGGAGCATGGGTGGCAGTGCTGGGAACCGGAATGGCGCTGGCCTTGGTGGGACTGGTGGCCTACGTCATCCTGAAAAAGAAACACCAGATGGGGTTTTCTCACAGGAAACTGGTGGAGGTGTTTCCCTCAGACCCGGGTTAGTAAACTCCACCACACACTCTGTGAAAATCAACGTGAAACTTTGTTTGCCTGCGGATTTTCCAACTGAGTCCCGGTATAATGTCTCTTATCTGTGATTGCTTGTTTGAGATTTAATTAAGGTTGTAAACTTGATCTGACCAACTTTCCAAACGATCATTCTAGTAGGTGGCTGCAGATTAAGTCATAATGTCATGCACAAATAAAACTGCTGAGTATAAAAGCAATGGTTGTGTATAAAGTAATCAAATGTTCATGAATGAGAACAAAATATCCAAGACCTGGTGGCCGATACAGCCACTCAACCAATCACGAGCCAGTCTCAGCTGTCAATCATGACGAATAACTGACTGAAACCAAACTCATCGGAGAAATAAACACTTGAACCAACATCAGTGTGAAAATAAATATACCTAAAATAACAGAAAACAACTTTAGGGTAAAATGTATTACATGTGACATATCATTTGGGTTTATCCGCAGTACTGCAGCCAGCCAACAGGGGGTACTCAAAAACTGTTGTCTTTATTCATCCATCTTTTTTTTTTTTACAGTCTATGTATGACGCTCATTACGAGTCACTCATCGACTCAGACACAGAATCCCAGTAGTTCAACATGTTTTAGAGACAGTCTGAGACATTAGCTCCTGGAAATCAGTGAAACTCGTTCACAGTCTCGATGCTGAGTGAAAGCCACGGGCTGCAGCCTCATATGAAAGTGGTATTGATCTTCTCATCTAACTCTAAGTGTGTTTCCCAAAATGTTAACCTTTTCCTTTTAGCCCTCGGTTGCCCCACACTCCCTCACACTTAACCTTCTCTCACGGCCCAGCTGAAATTAAACCGCATGCTTTTTTTTTTTCTTCTTCTTCTTCTTCTTCCGCTGCAGGAAACAGGAAAGCATGTCAGACTGAAGCTTAGGTGTTTGAGAGTCAGCTTTTAAAAACGTATATATTAAAGATAAGTCAGATTCCATCAAACACTGAGGAGGAACGACATCGTGCCATTCAACGTCACTTGATGTCAAGTCACATCGTCTTGATCACCCCCTAGTGGCTGGCTGGTGGAGTATAGGCTATAAACTCCAACTCCACCATGTTAACAGATTGCACATGGACCAAAACTAAAAAAAAATCAAACGACACCTTCAAAATGTTCTCTCAAAGCTCTGTCATATTAATGTAGTTCTTATCGCACTTGATTGACAGCTGAGACTGACACTCGTAATCTTTCGAGCATGTTTATCGGTTGGACGAGTGAAAATCAGTCAAAAAAAATCCCATCATGCAATGTTACACAAAGTGATCAAACTAGATGCCAACCATTTAACGAGGTCTCTCCAGACCCACGTCACATCTGTCCACCAAGTTTAATCAGGTGGTAATCCGTCCAGTGTTGTTTGTGTAATCGTGCTTATTATCAAACAAGCAAACAAACAAACAAACAAACAGACGAGGTTAAAATAAAACAAAACAAAAGCGACAAACCAAAAGTAACTGTTGGATTTCAGCTATAATGTTTTTAAACGTTTCTTTAAAAACAATCAGGAAATTCGAGAGGTGATTGTAAAGTCGTCTGATCTTCAGTCCTCAGGTTGGACAACAGCGAACCTTTGGACTTGAACTATGGAGGCGGAGCCTATTACAACTCAGGACTCCAGGGGGACAACATCCAGATGTCCAACTTTCCAGGACATCGCAGAAACTAAAAAACAGTGTTTTCTTCCTGACGCCTGATAGAAAACTGATAGTGTGGAGTTTTGTAAATGAGACAGTCTGAGTTTTTTTATTTTCTGTAAATCTTATGTCAGATTGTGCGTCACGCTGAGTGGATTTATCGAACTGAAATAGAGGAACCACTGAAGGCAATTTATCTGAAGTACGCTGCCAAAGCCAATATGAACAGCCAATTATGTGTGTTGCCAAAGGGAATAAAATGAAGAATATAATTCGCAGTCAATGCAGGGTGTTAAAAATGAATATTTACTGTACGTTTTGGTTTTTAATTCTCAAACCGTTTTTTGTAGAAGAAAATCTGATAAAGACAAGGAACTAGAATATAACTCCTGCTGATGCAAAACCATTTGTGGAAGAAAAAAAAAAAAGGAATATGCCGTCTGCAGAATAAATAGAAGATTACACAGGTGGCACATTGCAGCAAAATTCAGAAGCCATCGCGAACAATAACATTATCCATATCAACCGTCACCCGCTGTTACGGCACAAGGGAAGGAAATAAGAAGTTATATTTAAACTGGGCTTTCAGATTTTCCACCGTCGACAGTCACAGCCGGAGACTGAGAATTGAACCGCTAAACCAAAGACCTGAGTTTGTTTTTCTACAAAGTGACGGCGGTGGAGGGAGAGCCGGCTGCTGTTTCTTATTCATAGACTGAGGTTTTTTTTAGTATTCATGAAGGGAGATTGTGTACTTGGTTTTAGCACTGCTCAGTAGCAACATCTGTATCATCATAATAAACTTAAATCTTCTGACCTCCAGGTGTCCAAACAGAGATTTCCAGTCTCTGGTAGCGACAGTTTGAAACCTCGGAGAGTTACGTCCTGTAGCGTTTTCCTGCAGCAAACATTGATCAAAGCTAGAACACGCCTGATTATGAGTTTCTTGAAAAAACGTGATATATTTTTTCTTATTGTTATTCTTGTCACATGTTTGCTTTGACTTTGAGTGAAAACTTTATTTAAATACACACTCTCATACTTTCACTAATGCCTTTGTAAATTAAAATCTATCAATATATTTTAGAATTGCTTCATTCTACATGTGTCATTTTCTTTATTGCATATAAAAAAAAATGCTCTTTTATAACTGTACATATGAGGGAAAATGCATATATGAAATAGATCCCAGATTAGGATTGACATGAACCTGAGCTCGTTCTGAAACAGTGATGTGGACATGTGTCGTTGTTTTCTCAGTGGCTCCGCCTCCGTACTCGAACTAGTTTAAGACATCAGTGAGCGTGAGAAGCATTTTGTCTGAACGATGGAAGAAAGTTTTGTGGCTCCGTGTTAGAGAATCGCATTGATTACAACAAATGTAGTGAAACGTGACGACGTGTTCGTAAACAACCAAATTCCATTTTCATCTTCACATCTTATCTTTTAATTTCCACAAACGTCTTTCTGTCCGTCCCTGTCCGTCCCTGTCCGTGGCTCCACACATCCAGAGAGACGTTCATTTTACTGGCTTCACACTTGACATGTCCATTGTTAAGAAACCCGAGGAAGTGCAGCGTCAAACTTTCCGATATCTTTAATATGAATAAACTTTGAATGAATGGGCGACCAGAGCTCTGCAGCAGCAGCAGCACCTGGGACTCATCAACGTAAGTGACGTTGTCGATCAATTCAGGGTTATTGCGTATTGAGTCGAGCCTCACTGAACTTTGAATAAACAGATGAACGGCTCTTTGTGCAACAGAGGCGCTGCAGCTTCAGGACAAGTAAACAGCTCAATCCAAACAGGCAGATTTAAGAACGGCCACTGCTCTAAAGCCGTTTAAAAGTGTTTTCTCCAAATATATTTAAGGTGTTTTATTCTATCACACACAGACATGCACACAATACCTATTCAGTATTAAGAACACTTCCTTCACAAGCATTTGTTTCTTTAATTTATCACAAAAACTTTCTCTTTGCAGAGATTGTGGCCGTTTTTAATTAAACACAACAATTTAGGCTGTGATAGTTTGGCAGGCTGCTGAAATCAATTAACTGACGCCTGGCTAAAGAATGTAAATATTTCACTGGGGCGGTGGTATATATGGGGCAGGTTAATTTACACTTCCAGCAGAGCCAAATTAATTTGAATGAAATTAAATGATTGCTATCTAAAATGAGGCTATGCCAAATTTATTATTGACTAAATTCAAATTCATTTTCTTCAAGCTAACTCGCTGGAAATGAGTTTAACCCATAAAGCATAGTCTGCTGTAATAGCCTAAGTCTCCGTCTCATCAACGACAAGTAAATGGTCAACATGTGCATTATGCTGGAATACAGGAGATGATTAATGAACAGCTTCATATCGGGCAGGACGTGAGCGGAGGGACAGAATCCAGATAGACAAAGACACAAGTTTAGTCTCTTGCACAGTGAGAGTGAAAATGAGCTGGTGTCACTGAAACACTCCTGCTTACTTATTTCTAAGTTCATGCTTGATACATATCTGACCGGTCTCAGTCCTGCTCTGCTGAATCTTTCCGTACTATCAATGTTAAAGTGGCTAAAATACAGCGTCCAGTTTAATGCTGGACTCTAACTGTGCCACTCTTACCACCACCACGGGCTGGCATGCAGCCTCCTCTGCTGCAGACAGGAACATCCACAATCAACACAAGGTTTCTTTTAAAAAGTTAAACAACGTTTCATTTTGAACTCGCGGCGAGAAATAGCTGCAGCGCAGACATTGCATTGTTTCGTATGTAGGTTTAATATTTACACTGCTCGTTGCCTGTGATGACAGTTTGATTGGTTGCACATGCAAGATGGTGGATGTTGATTGGTTGATTTATTTGAGATTTTGATAATAATAGTAATAATAATAAATGAATGAATAGAACTTCATCGTCCATCGAAAGTGGAAAAGTGCCTTTGGTTCCCCAGTACAACATAATATCAGACAAGAAGGACAATACATTCAAATGTATACTAATACTACTAATAACAATGTATACTGCCTACAGCAGCATGATTGTTTAATAATCTCTTTTATTAACATTTGCAGGCTAAAGGGAAATGATACTGCCAGAAAGCAGCTGCTGTATTTTCCTGCTCAGACACTATATCCTCTAATACTGTAAATCTGTTACTCTACTGGGAAAAGTAGAAAAATCTAAAGTTTATAATTCCTTAAATAAAAAGTGTGCTGAGTCTGACTTCCGTTACTTTAATGTAGTGATGTTAAATGATTTTTTTCTCCCTGGCGTAACTGAAGATCAGGAGAATTTACGTCAGTTTCTTCTTTTCTTCTTGCTGATGAGCCACGTTGATCCTAATGAACGGCACCATATAATGAGAGCCGCAGTTATTTGCAATGAGTCATCGGCACATCCTGACAGGCCACGAATTCCCAAGTTTTACTTAATAACAGAGGAGTGAGGGATGGATGAAAGCAGCGGCATATGGAGGCTGATGTGCAGCTGCAGTTTGTGCCTCTGTTGCCAAAAGCCAGGCCTCGCTAATCCCCAGATACAAATTCTGGTGTAGGAAGAAAAAGCTGGAGCTCCAGTTTGGGGTTTAACTGGTGTGCAGACATTTCTTGTCTCCTGGTTTTTGTAGCTTCTGTCCAGCAACCTGATGCTGATTACGTTTGGATGTGCAAGGTTTTTGTGCAAAATGACAATTAAATCACAGTGGAGCCGAACTTTTCTTTCTTCTTAACATGTGCAGGTGTATTTAGAAGAGTTTAATCTGGACGCTGTCTGATAATTGGAGAAATAAACATATTTTTTCAAACAGCACGTGTTTCTGGGCGTGTGTGAAGAAGAGTGTTTTGCATTTTTAACGCTTACCTACAACTCAGATTGCTGAGAGAGAGTCCCGCGATGCATTTAGAGCTGACTCAGAGGGAAATGACACAGAGTGAGATTCGAGGCCAAACAGCGGGTTAACATTCCTCCTCTGTCGCTGCCTTGCTGCACATGTGGGTCGCTCTCTGCAGCTTATACATTAACCATGGCTCTGACAGGGTATTGTCTGTCAGAGATCCTTCCACACTGGTGGGTCACTGGGGTGGATCTGAAAGGTCAGCGCTCCTCCTCTGACAGAGCCCATTCTGGAAAGACAAATACGGAAGGTTTCCAAAAATACTGATGAGACAGTGGAGTAATATTTGCAAAGACAGGAAAAGAATACTTAAACACAGTGTATGAAAAAAACCTGTGCTTAGATCTGTTCTTATGGGGAAATTCCGATACCTGTGAGAAACCCGTAGAAGACGTAGAACGTGGTATTCAAAACACTTGGACAACAGACAGTTTTCCCTTCAGGCACATTTCACAGGAGAGAAGAGAAGTTTGAGAAGTGACTTTTCACTGAGTCTTAACTTCACTACTAAAAACAGTTCATCTTCTCAGCTGAGCCTCTAACAACACTTCACATGGTCGGTTTAGTTTAGTTTGCACATGCACTAATTAAATCAATAGAGCAAAAAAGTAAATATTCATATTAGCTACTGAGCTGCTCATTTTTTAAGTTTGTTTAATTAATCATTAAATTATCAGTATTTCCACTGAACAACACTCCCCGTACGTTTTTCACACTAAAAGCCCACAAATCAAGAGAGAGTGCTGGATGTTAAGAATCTGCAGAATGTGAATGTTATTTACCGCCGTTGAATAAATAACCAACAATCCTGCGAATAAATTACCGACATCGTAGAACAGCACAGTATCAAATTAGTGCGTGTACTAATTTGAAGGCTTAATGGTAAACATTTGATGAATGGTCTACAACAAATTATAAAGTAGGGAATTATGAGGCCTTTATCAAATGCATTCTTTTACTGCTAACAAATGCTAAAGACGGGGGGTTTAAAATGTGAATTAAGAAAAGAAACTTGAGAGAACTCTGCTGAAGGTGGAGAGGTATTGTGGACTGAATGTTCTTAGAAACTAAACAGCAGGTCTAATAATAAAGAGAAGAGGTCAACTGTGTGGGTTTGGTTAGAGAATGACAGATGCCTGATTCTGTGAAATTTAGAAAGATGATTAATGTACTGATAGAATAAGTTAAAATAAACTCTATACTTTACTTTATTTTATCAAGGTAACACGTGAACATTCCCCAAAGAGTGAGAAAAATCTCTCTCTCCCTCAGGTGTTTAAATTCTCCACATATGACAAATGACTATCGAGCAATTTGGAGCCAAAGGTCCAACCATTAACAGAAGAGTATTGTAAAGCTCTTTTATGCAACTTTAAATGGACTCAAGGAAAAAAAACGGGTGATACGCAGAAGTGTGAGTATAGCATCAACCAAACGTTGCACACATAGAATTTAAAGGACATGAAATGGCCGAGATTGGCTTTAGGAGTAAAACTGGCCCCAGAGCTGCTCTATAAGGAGAGAGAGACACGGCCAGCCAACTCTTGCATAAAAGGAACTGTAATAAATGAGCTCTCAGTCCCGTTAAAAGCTGTAAGGCCCCATAATAAAGCCTCACAGCCACAGATAATGACTAAATGCTTTCATCAAACCCTTATGATCAGTCAGGCACAAGAGATGATAATAAGGGGAAATGTGAAAATGTTCTTCTGGGTCTGTCTTAACATCACTACATTACTTGAACCTACTTCCAGGACGGGTTGGACCGGGTCAGACGCGATGGCATTTTAATAAGTTTAAAGGTCAGAGGGAGCACGTTTCACTCGAGGTGCTCGAGGCAGATGCCAGCTAGTCGCAGACGACATCTCTTGGCTTGTTGCCAGATGCTTTGAAGCACAAGTGTCCCTGCAAAGTACACGACCGGATAAGAGCTGAGCTGCACTGGAGCGAGCAGATGTAACCGAGGAGAAGGTGAAGGGGTTCGTTCATAACGCAACGCTGTGTAACTTTGTAGTACGTATGCAGTGAATTCGTTTGGGTTCTATGTCGGTAACAAATACACAGAACGCTACGGACGTCTTTTTACCTGATCTACGGTTCAGCGTTACTCTTGAACTCACTGAGCCAGATTTTGAATTTATGCTGAGACTACCTGTCTGTTGAACACTTCTTGCAACACAAAGACGATTATTCAACTACAGAGAAG